TCGCTGTAGAGAGGAACTATGACCAGGAAAAGGGAACATAAACAGTATACTATAGGGAAGAAGAGGTTAAGCTGTGGAGACAAAAAAATAAAAAAAATAAAAAAAAATGCCAACACTTATTAAAAGATGCAGTAAATATGTTATTTTCAGGCATTGCAGATTAAAATTGGACAAGTCAATAATAAAAATATAACTATTGACTATATGACTACTATCTTTTGACTGCCTACAGTCAGTACAATTTTCTAGCTTCTGTGGTTGATGCTAAGAGACTCTTATCTGATTCACACCTGAATATCTGACCATTTTGTCAGGCTTGCACAAGCTCAGTTCTTTTCCACATTAGTAAGAGATTGATCTTTGAAAGTAGTACTTTAAAACTGAGCAGCAATGGCTAGTTTTCCCTCAAACTTAAATTGCAAATTTTTAATTGTAAAGTTTGATTGGGAAGTAACTCAGCTAGACTTTCCGTTACTGTGTTGATGCCACTAAATTAATGGACTGATGCACAACCATTTTGCCTGGGCACTTAACAAATATCATACCACAAACAAGGAAAGTTTCAATAACCTCTTTATGGATTTATTTTTCACTACAATTTTTTTCACTGGTTGTAGCAGTGAGCCTTCTCAAGAGTCCAGGAGCTGACATTTAAATACTAGCTGAAACTCCTGAGAGTTTACTGGTATAAATATTTATTTTTTCTTATAAAGGTTAAAAATGTAAGTTGATGAAACCAGCTGCTACCTTTCAGAAAAGGAAAAAGTGTATGCAGAGTTGTGACGTTGACTAAGCAGGCAAATGCTTAGAGGAATTAAACAGTCATTATCTGTAATCTGACTGTAATCCTTGCTTTAGCAGAGTCAATAGCAAAACTGCCAGTAAGGCAAGATTTAATCTTTATCTTCCACATATTTTGGGTGAGAGTTTTAGAAGTGTGAACATGCTCCAGGAAAATTTGGTCTGCTCTGGAAGAATGGAGGGTTTTCTAACAGTAGGTGCTTAGGATATTTTATTCCTTCATTTGAACCATGTTTTTTATAAACACAATGTTACATTTAAATGGGAAAAAATGTTTTGTTAAAAATGGTGTGGGAGGTTAGGAAGAGTGAGTGACATGGAAGAAATATTTAGATAGGGTGTTAATTTGGATTTCTCATAATTTTTACTGCATCAGTGCAGAGCCGAAATGCAGGTCACAGAGCCAACAGAGCGCGGGGAAGCAGGAGCCATCACGTGGTTTTGTGTGCCTGGGGGAAGCTGTGGGTTTCCGTCCCTGCTTCCTGGACAATCACTGGATTAAAACTAGAATCAATTTTTAGGCGTGCTTTGTTTCTGTGCAGTCTCCCTCTCCTAACTGATAGCCAGATGCTCTCCTGCAATCAGTCAGTAAACTTCCAGTTTACTGTCTATGACCACTATGGAATGGAAGAAAACACTCAAAATATATTTGATTATTTAAGCTTTTGATCTCCTGCATGAACAGAATTTTGGGCATTTTGGGTCTTGGAAGGGATTTTGCTGAATTTGTTAAGTTATGTAAGTTTGATCAGTGTTAACCTCTCTGGAGCCCCCATCACTAGCTCTACTGAGGTCCGCTGTGAGCAATACAAAATGGGGTCGTTCCAGGAGGGACTAAGAACCCCAGGCATATATTTATTCCTTATTTATTTTGAAATAAAGGTAGTTATAAGGTTGAATGAAAGGAAAAAGAAATGGTAAATATTATTTCAACCTCGCAGCAAAAGTACAAGAACAGATGTTCTTGTGGAGACTCAAATGGGTTTTGCTCCTTCGTTTCTTATCTTGTATGTTGAAAGGGTTTCTATGGCTGATAAACAGTCTATAACATAACTATTAATGTTATGGCTGTGGTATTAAGGATCACATAAACATGTGCATTAGGTGGCTTTTAGGACTTGTTTCCTCTCTTGTTTACTTACTTTAATAGGCCGTGGTCTATGTGGCTGAGTATATCTCAAATATATCAGTCCTGCAATAGACAGACCCACAAAGAGCCAGTAGTTGAAGCAGTAGTAATTAATGAGGAGGAAAACATCTTCCACAAGGAGATAAAGCAAAGTCATTAAGCCCTAGAGATAATAAAAACAAAGACTTTTTAATGTGAAAATAAAGACATGCCTTGTAAAATAAAGAGGTAGTAAAGTTATAAAATGTCCTGTTTCCCAGATATTTGCCTGGAGTCAGGAGATCAGTTCCTTGCAAGAAGGATGCACTTAAAACTCTGAGAAATCTGCAAATAAGATGTGTGAAACATGCTGATATCTCTTCCTGAAACGTAGCAGTGACACCACCACATTTGGCTGAAGAGGTGTCAGGTTTGTGAAGTTCTGTTTCAGCACAGGCAGGAAACCCTCCTCAGAAGGCCAGACGAGGAGCCCCAAACTCTGCTGTGCTAAGGAGAATTGTACTTAAGAAGCTTTCTGTAGGCAGCGGCTTACTCTGCTGTTCTGGTTGGCTTCGTTTGCAAAGCAAACTTTTAATTTGCTTTCACTGTTGGAGGCTCTCACAGTCCACTCATACACTGAGACCATTAAAGTAAATTCTGTGGTATGCAGGTATGCATGAAAAGACCTAAAAATACCAGGAATTTAATGTCTGTTTTAACAGATGAGCAGAAAAAAAATCCACCTTGAAAAACGTGAATGGTGGTGTATTAAGGGAGTATGGCCCATCTTACTGGTGCAAACAGAATTTGTCTGAGAAGAGTATTCATAATGACATTATAACTTGTAGTAAATTATTTGACGTCAAACAGGACAGGCATGATAATCTACTCATTAACCATATGTAACACAGGGCAATGGAAGACACCAATTAAAATACATGTTCAAATAAACAGCAGTGAAATATTTTTTAATGATTCCACCGTCTCTGTTTGTGCATATTCTCCCCCTTATTTTAATCTGTTAGCTTTATGGATTATTTATTTAAGTTATTTGCACTATTTCTACACCTTATGGTTCCTCAATTTTGTGTCACAAGATTTATTTGTATAGTCACAGCAGGAAAAAGTCAGTATGGCTACAGGCATCCAATGGCAGGAATTTAATTTTAAGTGCTTTGTCACTCCTGTTATAACTACAGTCCTAGAAAGTCAGCCTATGACAGGGTCTGAGTGATGTTCCTGTCATATTCTTCTCCAGTGACACTGAAGACTCACATAAAGACTTAACTCCTGTCTATACTGTTACATATTTAGCCATTCTCTGTTTTCTAAGTAATGTTATTGTACTCAGTCCTCACTAATCTTGTTCAGAGAGCATATGAACGGGAATCAAGCCATTCTCTTTCCACTGAAAAAAACCCAAACCCATCAGATAAAAAATAATGCCACCACAACCCTCAATGAGTTTTAGAAATTGTGGGCATTTGAGGAAGGTATCTCCAGCCCAGAAGCGAGGTGTTATACCCCCCCGGGTCCGAATCCCCAGCTGCCCCAGCCGGGCACGGGGCCAGGCTGTCGCTTACATTGAAGAGGAGAGCCGGGACTGGCGTGAAGCACGTTATATGAATCAGGCTCAGACTGTCAGGAAGGTGTCCTTCCCTGGCTCCAACATAAAAAAGCCTGAAAAAAAGAATAAGAAAACTCAACCAGACAGCGAGCCAAGGACTAGCTTGTTGCTTTCTGACAAAGGCAGCATTAAGGCTTTTATTACAGTGTTGTAAATGCTGCTCTCTTCTCAAGCGGCTTTAGTTTATCAATTGGTGCTGATCATGAGAAGACACGTCAGATTGTAACAACCCTTCCATCATAAATGAACAACCTGTCATGGCAAAAATTAACTGTGTCACTTTTACAGTTCATTAGTAAAAAATGCAGATTAGTAATAAATGATGCCTTTTCAATTATTTAAAATAAATCTTATATTTCATACCTAGATGCTGCAATTATTGATGAGTTTAAGCCACTATAGCAAGACATGGCCACTGCTATAGGAATTATCCACTTAGCATAACTAAGGGTTTCACCGCCAAACGTCTGTAACAGAAAAAGAAAATAATAGTGAGTCCCCTAACATTAAGCATATGGAAAATCCTGAGAAACTCTCATGAAAACACAGCAGTGCAAAGATAATGTCATAGCCCATGCTTTGTTATGACATCCAATAATGACTTGGGAAATTAGAATTTGGAAAAACTGATCAGTATCAAAATAAAAATGGCAGATAGATACCTTAAAAAAGATAAAAAAAAATCTAAGCCTAGATCAAGCCAATAAGATAATAGAAGATGATGTGTTGGGTTTAACGTAGTCTGACAAATCCTGACTGTAGTAATCCATGAGTTATAATTGTACATTTTTTTGTAGAATATTGATAAGGTTTTAAAAACCATTTCACTGCACATTTTTGTGTTGAAAATATTGCTGTGATCCTGCAGCATTAAATGTCACACACTGTACATTAGAATGATAGCAAACCTCCTGGTTCTTAAACTGCTCAGACTTATCATAGCACTTTCTGTCTGGGCCTGGCAAAAACATCTTCTACTATGAAGTACTGTTACGAGCAGGATTTGCACAGTATATGAGAGGATTTTACAAGAGCAGATTTGTTGTATATATTCTTTATATTCTATGTATTCTTTTATATTCACCTTCTAATATACTGGTACTCTTACATAAAAACAAAGTTTAAAACAAAGCAACAACTTTGAGCATGGAAATAACTTCAATTGTGTTGCCAAGAGGTATGCTACCTGCGATTCTTCCGCAGTGACATCCATACAGTAACTGTTGGTTTAATTATTTTATGCAACTTACCACAGCCACTGCGTCACTTGTGAGGAGAGCTGACATGTCCAACACTACGTAGTATGCTATATTAGTCAGCAAGTAAATAACAGTCACAATAGGCATTGAAATTGCGATAGAAAGAGGTAGATTCCTACAAAAGGAAAATGGCAAAATGATTTCATGTTCTTGAAATAAGGAATATTTAAGTAGAAGATTGTTCCCAAAATCAAACATTTGTGAGTGGATACCTCTATCACTTTTTGTAATTCATCATTTTGTTGTTGTGGGATTACAAAACAATGTGCAGCCATGTGTGGAACAATTCCATAAACACCTTAGTTGGCTGCTTCTGGGTCTGTCACAAGTTTTAGAGCAAAACCATACATTTATACCTGTAAAATTTATATACTGTCTTTCCTATGAAGCAATTTAAGAGAGCACTTAAGCAATGAGATTTGAATGCACACTTAAGTGTTTTCATGACTGTAGCATTTTTTTCCTGACTTGTAACCTACGTATGTCCCAAGACAAGGTGGACTGAGTCTGAATAGGTAAGGCACACCACTCCCACAGGCTGGACATCCCAACAGAGGGGAGGAGATGATATTTCCAGTGCTGCTGTGGACTTCTTTATTTTTTACTTAACCTTTCATCTTCAGTAAAATTAAACATTTTTTGCATAAAAATTAATGCTAAAGATCACATGACAAAACAGTCATAAACCTGAAACAGTCTTACTCTCCCGGTGGAAAATAAAATAACTGTTCTATTTGACTGAAAAGAAATAGGGGATATTAAAGAGCTAGATGGACCCATGCTTTTCCTGCTTTCAGTGGGGATTTGTTCTCCTCCTTTAAAAATTCTGGCCTAAAGTGGAAGGTTTAAAATACATCCATGCAGACAAGTGATTTATTAGTGTGACACAATTGGTGAGAGAGGACAATAATCAGGAAGAATTTGTGTGCTTACTACTCTGGAAAAGAAGAAGGTTTTTTTTCAGAAAAAATAGTTTAACTAATTTCCAATCAGAAACAAATATGGAATGTTTTTTCCTGCCATCACCTGTCTTACCAGAACACTTCAGCAATTCAAAGGAAAAGCACCCCTTTACCTCTCGGGGTTCTGCATTTCCTCAGTGACGTAGTTGAGCGTGTCCCATCCTGAGTAGGAGAAGAGGGCAGAGTAGAGAGCCAGCGCAATCATCCCTGGGTTTGTTGCTGAGCCCTCAAACGGAGCTCTCAGGTTTTCTGTTTCTCCTGTACAAATGGCAGGTAGCAATTAGCTGTTACATTTCAAAGATTATGATGCAGGAGGACACTACACTAGAAGTCTCAGCTAACCAGAAGGATATAAAAACCCACTGCATCCAGGTTTCATTACTATTTCTACAAGTGCACAGCTTATATTTTCACTTGACAAATAGGAAAGTTTCAGTCAGATGTTCAGACAGCTACACTTGTACATGGAGACAGCAGAAGACGTTTTCCTGTGTTTGGTAATTGGATGTGACTTATGTAATTCTACCAGAATTCACGGTGTCCTCGCCTCCTGGCACCGCCATCTAGCTTACCAAAGGAGGGAGCCGTACTGAGGTCATGCTATGCCTTATCAGCCAGGCAGAAGCACTTGGAAAACTCAATTTCAGTTCCCAAATCTGTCTCATATTTCTTCCTCTTATCTGTGCTTTTGTTTTCACCAGATGAATTAGTGGCCACTGGAGGGGGAACTCCTGGAGGCTTGGTTCTCAGTGTGATGCTCTGCCCCACAAAGGTGTCCCCCAAAATTAAGAGAGGAGACTTGATAAATCTTTCCTTTCAAAATTCTCCTCTAGTTTAGCTCAATCAGCTGAAACGACAACCTGCAGAACACTGCAAAGTAGACGAATGTTAATGAAATTCCATGAGCCTTCACTGTGATTCTGGAAAGGGGAAGAAAGCCCTTACTGAGTTTGCAGAAGGAAAGTCAACTATCTAATATGAATGGAAGTGGGTTTAAATCTTAAGGAAGACAGAAACATGCTGAAACCTCTATTAAGGAAGAAAGTAAGGTCTTTGTCATAAAATGAAATAACTTCACCATGTGGTTAAACTAAGGACTTTATAGATACCACAAAAGCAATACAGTATTTGAAGAGCAGTAACTACCAGGAGACTGTTCGAACCGAGGAAGGTGAAGCTATGAGATGCACACACACACTTTGGGGAAGAAAATGGTTGGAAGGAAAAGACCCTGAAAAATCCAAAAGGGCCAAGAAAGCTTTTTTTACTCAAGACAGCTCATATTCAAAATCAGATACATTCACAGTGTTGTTTTAAAACAAGAGCCATATCTGAGCACATCAGAAGGAACACAGCAGAGCTAAAATGTCATAACCATTCTTTTCATTAAAACAGCTGCTGAGTTTAAAAGAGTGCATTGACCTGATCACAGCTTCCTCCAGAAGTCTACATCGTTTCTCCACCCAGTCTTTTCTGTATTCAAGTGCTGTCATGGTTTCCGTTGGGATAGAGTTAACTTTTTCTTACTAGCAGCTGGCATAGTGCTATGTTTTGGATTTGCGATGGAAATAGTGTGATAAGGCACTGGTGTTTTTGGTTGTTGCTAAGCACTCAAGGCCTTTTCTACTGCTCACACCACCTCACCAGTGAGTAGACTGGGGAGGGCACAGGAAGTTGGGAGGAGACACAGCCAGAACAGCGGATCCCGACTGACCAAAGGGATATTCCATGACATATCATGTCACGCTCAGTACATAAAGATAGGGGAATAAGAAGGAAGGGGGGGACGTTCAGAATAATGGAGCCCTGCTTTCCTGGAGATGGCTGAACACCTGCCTGCTGATGGGAAGCGGTGAATGAATTCCTTGTTTTGCTTTGCTTGCGTGCATAGCTTTTGGTCTAACTATTAAACTGTTTTTATTTCAACCCACAAATTTTTCCTCACTTTAACTCTTCTCATTCTGTCCCCCATCCAAACTGGGGGAAGTGAGTGAGCAGTTGCGTGGTTCTAGCTGCTGGTTGGGGTTAAACCACAAGTGCTCAGTTCTGCTTAAATAACGCAGAGACGAGACCTTTACTACCACTAAAAGCCCTCAGCATTTTGCGTTCCTCACAATAACATTTCCTGTCCGCCTTTACCCTCCCTGACCCCACCAAGCAACGCAAAGGACCTGGTGTGGGTTATGTGGATGCACGAGCAGAGGGAATGGCCCCTGGTCCAAACCACATCGTGGCAGCTGCAGAGCAGTGGGTTGGCTGGGAGTTTTGAAAGCAGTGATTTGAAAGCATGGGTAAATTTGTGACTGTGGGGACAGGGAAAAGCTGCTGTAGGGGTCACATCATGGACTCACCCCTTTGTAAAACTGCAGCAGCTTTATGAGGGGAACTACTCCTTCATGTAGCTGTGGCCCTTAAGCAGTGCTTTTTCTCTGCATCTTCACATTCACGCCCTTAGGACTGGGTTTGTTTGTTCAGGTTTCTTTAGACTTGAATAAATCAGTGACAACTGATGTGCGCAGATAATGGCTAAACAAAAAGCTCTCTTGAAGTCTGGTGTAGCTTTACAGTGTAGCAGCTGATGCATTAGAACTGCAGCCAAGGAAAGGAGAAGGACAGCAAACATGGAGAAGCAAGCATGCTTGTTAGGTTTTATAAGCTAGTTTCAGCAACAGAAAAAGACAATTCCTAAATTGAAGAGACAAATCTATCTTTATTTTAACTGAATAAAGATACAATGCCTATTTAGGGATTTCATGGGAAAGGAAAAATGAAGAACCTTAGTAACTATGCTTAGTAAACGGAGCTAGAGTTGGAAGAGACTTTACTGTACCAGAGACCCAAATTAATAAAATCGTATCTATTGTCATATGCAAAGATCAAAGGTAGCACGGGAATAAACTAGTCTCTGGCTGTTCAGTGTATTCAGTTGGGTCCAGTTAATGCTGATACAGGGTGGCTCATCTGTTCTGTGATGTTTTACCATACCACAGTGATTTACAGGACCACAGTATTACAGTCTTCTCCCTTGTATCATAGAATCATAGAATGGTTTAGGCTGGAAAGGACTTTGAGGATCATCTCGTTCCAACCCCCCTGCCATGGGCAGGGACACCTCCCACTAGATCAGGTTGCCCAAGGCCAAATCCAGCCTGGCCTTGAACACCTCCAGGGATGGGGCCTCAACAACTTCTCTGGGCAACTCTGTTCCAGTGCCTTACAACCCTCAAAATAAAAAATTTCTTCCTAATGTTTAATCTAAACCTGCCCTCTTCCAGTTTAAAGCCATTCCCCTTCATCCTATCGCTACATGCCCTAGCAAAAAGTCCTTCCCCAGCTCTCCTGTAGGCCCCCTTTAGGTACTGGAAGGC